CCCAGTGTGTTCAATTAAATTCCATGTTCGAAAAGATTCTTCTGCGTCTCCTTCGCTCTGTCCTTCCTGAGTGTAACGTGACACTATTAGAGTGAATAAGGTTTTCAATAAGTATAAATAATTATTGTGTACTGAATTCTCGGTTTGGTCTACACAAGTATAATTATAATTTTAATAATTGTAATTAAGATCAACTAATACAACATACACTAATCTTGAAAGTTCTAAAGCTTAGCTGTCTTTTTTTTTTTTCAACTTTTTTTAACCCAACTCAACTCCCCCCAAAAATGAGATGCAGACATCAAGACAAATAAATACATCTACCCCAAAAGAATCGCCCAAAACAAAGAAAAGAAGAAAAAAAAAACCACTATCAAAATTGAGGGACAAGTTGCGCTACATGGAAGAGAAGCTTCTGGAGAGGACTAAACCAGGGGTCTCCAAACTGGGTCCTGGAGGGCCAGTGTCCTGCAGAGTTTAGCTCCAACTTGCCTCAACACACCTGCCTTTAAGTTTCTAGTATGCCAAGTAAGAGCTTGATTAGCTGGTTCAGGTGTGTTTAATTGGGGTTGGAGCTAAACTCTTCAGAACACCGGCCCTCCAGGACCGAGTTTGGAGACCCCTGCTTTAAACCTAAGGAAAAGACTGAGAAGAATTGAGAAAAGGGAGAGAACATTGAAGGCAAAGAGGTCCAAAAAAAATCTAGAAAGAGAGGTCACCAGAGAATATTACCCAACAACCAGAGAAGATTAATGTGCAGAATTGTTACCCGATTCTTTCTCCAAGATGAAGTTTCGACTGTAATAAATGGCAAATCTTGTGAAATTCAAAAAAAGGGCCAGATATGGCTTTTGTATTTTTGAAGCACTACACAATAAAACTGTTTTGAACTTGCATGATTGTGCAAATATTATCAGATTTTTTTCTACATTATCTCAGACTAGTATACTAGTCTCAGTATAAATCTCAGACTAGTATACTTATTATCATTACCGAAATAATTAACCTCATTTCCGAAACCTATATATCATTACGGCAACAGATGTCCATTAGATGTTAATTTAATTAATAGAAAAATAGTACTTTGATTTTAAATGCATGTGCAGAATCTACCAATTATGTTCTTTCGGGTTTGTTACATCATTTTGAAAGAATGTCAGGTTTCATTGAAATATTACCAACAAAAAAAAAAAAGGCTGTAAATTGTGGAATGTGTTGCGCGGTAATGAGAGAAATCAATCAAAATAAAAAAACTGTTAAATAAAACATTTATATTGTTTCAGAATTTCAAATAACTGTGCATGACTATTAATAATCCATTTTTAAATATGTGGAAATGTATTTGCTGTTCTAACAGTGTTGATGTTTTCAGACTGTTGCCGTAATGAGATTGTTTTAGGACTTGTTTTGGAATTTATGTTCAAAAAGGTGTTAAATGGTAAGTAAAACTTTTTAAATGAATGTTCACAAATACTCCAGACTTTGTTGCTAATGTCTGGAAAAAAAGTTAATTTAAGGATTTTCATGCATGACATCTTTAAAACCAACATTTCGTGAGAATCACCCGGATACATTCACAATGGTGAACTGATATGGGACCGAAAATACAAACAGAATAAACAGGGATGCAAACTAGGAGAATAGCGAGGGAGGACAGGTGGGGTAAATACCAATAATCAGCTAACAACAGGGGCGGGAACAGGACTAAGACAGGAGATGGGAACACATGGCACATAGAAACAAACAAAACAAAGCCATTTACTTACACAAAACATGACACGAACACACAGCAAATAAGAGCTCTCACAGACTGTGTCCACACAATACATATAACAAGAAAGCACTTGGCCAGCGTAAAAACGAACCGCGTGCTACACAGAACACAACACACGTTGACAGAAGAGCATTCAGTTGTAAATACAATTTCTCCCAATGTTGCATTGCACGGTATGCAAATATATAAGACCTTTTTTTGTCTCTTATTGTTTACGTTCCGTGGCTCTAAGGAAGCTTTATTTATAGTTGCAAGTAACGTAGACTAACCATGTTCTGCAAACTTCCCTCTGTTGTTGTCCTATCCCAGAAGCCCACGGGAGAGGATCATCATCGTCATCGAGTGGATCGACAAAAAGTTAATGCATTATAAAAATATAAACAATTATAATAAAAATATACAAAATTAAACAAAAATAATAGTTTAAATTAATATAATTGATACTTTTGACTCATCCCTTTTCTTAAAAATGGTTTAAAGGCTGAAATGGCAGGTCCTTAAAACGTCTTCAGTTAAATTGTTTACATTTAAGGCTTTTCAAACTCTTAAATGGTACAAAAAGTCTAAATTATAAGAGGTCTTTAGGGACGGAAAGAAAATAATTGCTATATGGATTAATATGACGATTAAACTTCAAAAGGCTATGATTTCACTGAATAAACTTGAGCGCTGCACATCAGCTTTGTGTACCGTGGTTACTGGGGAAACCACTATATTTCTGCCATTCCGAGAGCGCCTCCTGCTGGCAGAGAACGAATCTGCTTTCTCAATAAGCCCTTCTGCTATTTTTGCTACATATTTTTAAATGTGAACCAGTGGATCGACAAAAAGTTAATGCATTATAAAAATATAAACAATTATAATAAAAATATACAAAATTAAACAAAAATAATAGTTTAAATTAATATAATTGATACTTTTGACTCATCCCTTTTCTTAAAAATGGTTTAAAGGCTGAAATGTGAAGTGCAGATCTTAAAAAGGTCTTAAATTAGATTTTTAGAATCCTGCAGATACCAGGTTATTTTATGGTACCATTTGGAATAACTATTTTTTTAAATTAAGCCCTTTTTAACTGTCCTCTTGGTTTGTTTTGAGAACGTTCTGTAGGCCAATGTTCTGTAATGTTTGTACATTCGTTTGTTGCAAATCAAAAAAACAGACAATGCAATTGAGATGTTTACACTGGCTTGTCGGGGTAATATTTCTGTCCACTGACAACAAAGTTTTCCTTCTGAATTAGCATAACTGCACAAGTTTTATACTTAATCAAATCTTTGAAAGCAAATTAAATTAGTTATACTTTAATTTCCTTCAATAAAAAGGAAATGGAGTAAGACGGTGTAAAAGGAGAGTGTGGATTAGTAATCTGGCCTCTTGGTATAAAGGAGAAAAAATGCTGGCCCTCGTCACTATCAAAGTTGCCCATCCCTGATTTACATCTAACCTACGCGCTATATTAAATAAATGTTTGCGGGGAATATCCTGCATTATAAACACAAAACCTGTAAAACTAGACGATATATGCACACAGAAATTCAGGACATGGTTAACTCATTCCCCGCCAGCGTTTTTGAAAAAAAAGTTGCCAGCCATCGCCAGCATTTTTGATCATTTTCACAAAAACTTCATATTAAACTTCAAAAGGCTATGATTTCACTGAATAAACTTGAGCGCTGCACATCAGCTTTGTGTACCGTGGTTACTGGGGAAACCACTATATTTCTGCCATTCCGAGAGCGCCTCCTGCTGGCAGAGAACGAATCTGCTTTCTCAATAAGCCCTTCTGCTATTTTTGCTACATATTTTTAAATGTGAACCAGTGGATCGACAAAAAGTTAATGCATTATAAAAATATAAACAATTATAATAAAAATATACAAAATTAAACAAAAATAATAGTTTAAATTAATATAATTGATACTTTTGACTCATCCCTTTTCTTAAAAATGGTTTAAAGGCTGAAATGTGAAGTGCAGATCTTAAAAAGGTCTTAAATTAGATTTTTAGAATCCTGCAGATACCAGGTTATTTTATGGTACCATTTGGAATAACTATTTTTTTAAATTAAGCCCTTTTTAACTGTCCTCTTGGTTTGTTTTGAGAACGTTCTGTAGGCCAATGTTCTGTAATGTTTGTACATTCGTTTGTTGCAAATCAAAAAAACAGACAATGCAATTGAGATGTTTACACTGGCTTGTCGGGGTAATATTTCTGTCCACTGGCAACAAAGTTTTCCTTCTGAATTAGCATAACTGCACAAGTTTTATACTTAATCAAATCTTTGAAAGCAAATTAAATTAGTTATACTTTAATTTCCTTCAATAAAAAGGAAATGGAGTAAGACGGTGTAAAAGGAGAGTGTGGATTAGTAATCTGGCCTCTTGGTATAAAGGAGAAAAAATGCTGGCCCTCGTCACTATCAAAGTTGCCCATCCCTGATTTACATCTAACCTACGCGCTATATTAAATAAATGTTTGCGGGGAATATCCCGCATTATAAACACGAAACCTGTAAAACGAGACGATACATGCACACAGAAATTCAGGACATGGTTAACTCTTTCCCCGCCAGCGTTTTTGAAAAAAAAGTTGCCAGCCATCGCCAGCATTTTTGATCATTTTCACAAAAACTTCATGAATATTTTGTTTTATGAATATCTGAACATGCAATACATCAAAACAAAGAACAGAGTCTCTACTTTTAAACAAAAAAATAAGTTTTATTCTAGCTTTAAGCTTTCTTTTTTTAAATCAACACTTGAATGTAGGTAAGTTTCATTAAAAAAAAAGCAACATTTTGCTCAAAAAGCTTCTTTATTAAAGACTACATCTGAATCATATTCAGCATGATTATCAAAGCATAGATGCAGTCGATCGCTTCCGTCAACACCCCCAAAGCCTCGGTAACATTAGGCAGTTTTCATTTATATGCTCTTTATTATTGATGGCATTGTTTTTCATATGCTTCTGCTTGCATATGAATGTTCCTCGTTTCTGCGTCTTCCTCGCCTGTGTTTTTGATCGGGTGATTGTGGACTCATCCAGGAGATGCGTAACAATGTGTAAACAGCGAGAACGTGGAAACCCGGAAAATTCCGTGCTTGGCAGGGAAAGAGAAATAAACCTCCATGACTTTTCCGAAACTTTTCCAACTTTTAAACAAAAAAATAAGTTTTATTCTAGCTTTAAGCTTTCTTTTTTTAAATCAACACTTGAATGTAGGTAAGTTTCATTAAAAAAAAAGCAACATTTTGCTCAAAAAGCTTCTTTATTAAAGACTACATCTGAATCATATTCAGCATGATTATCAAAGCATAGATGCAGTCGATCGCTTCCGTCAACACCCCCAAAGCCTCGGTAACATTAGGCAGTTTTCATTTATATGCTCTTTATTATTGATGGCATTGTTTTTCATATGCTTCTGCTTGCATATGAATGTTCCTCGTTTCTGCATCTTCCTCGCCTGTGTTTTTGATCGGGTGATTGTGGACTCATCCAGGAGATGCGTAACAATGTGTAAACAGCGAGAACGTGGAAACCCGGAAAATTCCGTGCTTGGCAGGGAAAGAGAAATAAACCTCCATGACTTTTCCAAAAATTTTCCTGGCCTGGAAATTGCCATTTTAAATGTCCATGACTTTCCCAGGTTTTTCATGACCGCACGAGCCCACACATATGAATGGCTTCTCTCTCTCTCGTGTGAATCCTCGTGTGGTTTTCTTTACACGTTAGTCATTTTCCACACATTTGAATGGTTTCTCTATTGTGTGAATTCTCAGGTGAATCTTAAGAGTGCCTTTTTGTGTGAAGCTCTTCCCACACAGTTTGCAGGTGTACGGCCTCTCTCCAGTGTGGAGTCTCATGTGAGTGCTGACGCTGTTTTTATAACGGAACCGCTTTCCACACTGATCACATGCGAACAGCTTCTCTCCAGTGTGATTTCTCATGTGGTCATTAAGGGTGTTTTTACGCGTGAAACTCTTTCCACACAGAGTGCAAGTATAAGGTTTCTCTCCCGTGTGAACCGTCGTGTGGACTTCAAGGCTTTGTTTATCAGTGAAACTTTTCCCACACTTTCGGCAGGTGAAAGATTTCTCTTGAATGTGAATCTTCATGTGGTAATTAAAGGTGTTTTTATGTGCAAAACACTTTACACATTGGGTGCAAATGTAGGGTTTCTCTCCAGTGTGAATTCTCATGTGGACTTCAAGGATTTGTTTTTGAGAGAAATGTTTTCCACACTGTTGGCAGGTGAAAGAGTTCTCTCTAGTGTGAACTCTCATGTGATTCCTAAGGTTTAGTTCTGTTGTAACGCACTTTCCACACTGTTGGCAGGTGAAACGCTTCTCTTCAGTGTGAATTCTCATGTGGACTTCAAGGTGCACTTTTTGAGTAAAACGCTTTCCACACTGTTGACAGATGTAAGGTTTCTCTCCAGTGTGAATTCTCATGTGGACTTCAAGGCTTTGTTTTTGAGTGAAATGTTTTCCACACACTTGGCAGGTGAAAGAGTTTTCCCCAGTGTGAACTCTCATGTGATACCTAAGGTTTAGTTCTGCTGTGAAGCTCTTTCCGCACTGTTGGCAGGTGAATGGCTTCTCTCTAGTGTGAATCCTCATGTGGACTTTAAGGTTTCCATGCTGAGTGAAACTCTTTCCACACTGTTGGCAGGTGAACGGCTTCTCTCCAGTGTGAACTCTCATGTGGAGTACAAGTTTTCGTTTTTGACTAAAACACTTTCCACACTGACAGCAAGTGAATAAACTGTTTGATTTGGCCATCTGAACTCTTTTTTGTGAGGAAGTCTTTTTAGTGGATTTTTCCCTAGTCGTGAAATCATGATGATTTTTATCTTCCATCTCATTCAGCTCTTGACTCTCCACTTTCAGCACCGTGAGGTCTAAAGCGAAAAAATACAAGTTAACCCAAATTTGACTGCACAAAGCAACAGACATCCAAACCAACACATTGTAAATCAATAAAGCCAACAACATGCATGTTAGATACTACACACACTAAGCTACCAAAATAAGAGTTATCTCAGAATCTCTTCTCAATATTCTTAACTGTTCACTTTCTTTAGAACAAGTCCACAAGTCAGGATTTAAGCCAATTCGTAGCACAGAAACCTTCCTTATCACGTTCCTTACTATAGTTACATCTATCTTTTAGTGCTATTGGACCTATCAACAACATAGACCACAACATTCTCTTGGATAGCTTGAGAATTATGTTGGCATTTGTGCACAAGAATTAACATTAACATTTTACGACTAAACATGATTTAAGTCCTATCTGTCAGACTGCTCTCACATGTACTGTATATGAAGAGATGTTTCAAACACAAGTATGGTGTACCACAGGGCTCTGTATTAGGTCCTCTGCTTTTTTCATTGTTTATGCTTCCTCTGATGGACATTATCATTAGAATTTGCTGTTATGACAATGATTATTCAGTTTTATATTTTCTCACAACCTGACAAAACTTCTGCTTGAGCGACCAGAAGCTGGACATTACAGTTTATGAAGTTTTAAGAATCAACATTTTTCTTAAACTAACGCATCGTTTCGCTTCAGAAGGCCTTTATTAACACCCCAGAGCCATGTGGAGTAGTTTTATGATGAATGGATGGATGGATACACTTTTTTCGGATTCAGAAACAGGGGCACCATTCACTGCAATCATACAGATTAGAACAGACAGGACAATGTCGAATATAACTCCAAATGTGTTCGTCTGAAAGAGGAATGTCAGACATGTCTAGGATGCTTTGAGGGCGAGTAAAACACAGGCTAATTTTCATTTTTAGGTGAACTATCCCTTTCATTATTGAACAAAAAAAATCTATACATAAGGTGCTAGACCTCAATTTAGGTACTGTTATGACATTTTCTACATATAAGGACCCAGGTGTTGTGATGACAGCTACAACTTTACGGTTTGCAATGTTGGTACACAAAACATTTTTTACACCTGCTCTCAATCATGTGTAAATGGTATGTAAAACATCTGAATATTTTGTTTACTTTTTTTAGGCAAACTGGTGACACTGCATTTTGATAACACTACATGTACCATAATAATATTTCATGAGTTTGTTTGCCCATATGCTATGCGATATTTAAGCTACTGAGGTTATAATTAATTGGCAGCAGTGGAGGGGCTTCAACTCCAGCTCTGAGTAACTAATGCTTGGAAAACAAGTATGAATGGCGAGATATCTAAATTATGTTGGTGGAGTCGAGGAGATGGAGGGATGCTGAAACAGCAGATGTGAGGCATATGGCCAATTATTAGTTGTAATTAATGGGTGGGGATTACACTAATTGTGAATAAGTGTGCAAACACCCCATTTACGAATGGCAGGAAATCATTAACATACTCATGTTTAACGATCAAATCTGAGGTTTACGATGTGTTTGTGAATCTGGAGGATAGTTTTTGAGAAGGTCCATTTTACGTGCAAATTACTAAAATAATTAGCATAATTTAAGTTTCATGAATGATATTTGCATGTGACTTATTTATTGCATCATTCAATGATTATTTACTACTATTTTTGTAATCATGATGGTTTGTTCATAACTAAGTATTTTCCCCCTCTACATTTGAGGCTCTGAATATTGTTAGCTTCCTTGTGCATTGCACAAAACATTTATGCATAATAAATGTTTTTACCTGTTTGCTCTTCTTGTTTCAGACTGAATACTTCTTCAACCTTCATGTCTTCTCTCTCCTCTTTAATAAACTCCATCTTTATAATAGTGTGTCTCTCAGTCGCTTCAGCAGGAGTTTATCTGTGTGTTTAAGATCAGAATAATTAACAGAAAGATAATAAACCCAAACTAGATCTCTGGGGTGTCTCAATCAGCTCCCGAGTTCAGTAGTCAGCACACTAGTAAGGGAGACAGTCAGAGTGAGAGTTAATACATTTAAATCACCTCATTAGCTAATAAACCCTTAAAAAATAACGCTACAAATTAATAATAGAATGCAAGTCATATAAATTTATACTTAGATGATTACACAATTTTTTGTTATTGTCTTGAAAGACGTTTGTTCTCTTTGAATTTACAGTGTTTTTATAAGCATTTGGTTCAGTTGAGCTTCAAAAGGCGCTGTTTTTCTCCTCACTAGCGCCGGGGACCGATCTGTGTTTATATCGCACTATAAAGGGAGAGAAATCGTGTTTATACCGCACTACACGGGGAGAGAAACCATGTTTATATTGCACTAACCGTGTTTATACCGCACTACACGGGGAGAGAAACCGTGTTTATACCGCACTACACGCTACACGGGGAGAGAAACCGTGTTTATACCGCGCTACACGCTACACGGGGAGAGAAACCGTGTTTATACCGCACTAGACGCTACACGGGGAGAGAAACCGTGTTTATACCACACTACACGCTACGCGGGGAGATGTTTATACCGCACTACACGCTACACGGGGAGAGAAACCGTGTTTATACCGCACTACACGCTACACGGGGAGAGAAACCGTGTTTATACCGCACTACACGCTACACGGGGAGAGAAACCGTGTTTATACCGCACTACACGCTACACGGGGAGAGAAACGTGCGGATACGCTTTACTCATTAAAACGGTTCATCGCTGATATTACAAACATTACAGTGTAATACTGACTGAACGCGCTGTGCTGATCTAAACACTTCAGTAATACAAACACAAACCTGTCTTCAGCAGATCCACAGACGCAGAGCGCGCGACGCGGCCTTATGACGTCACGGCGTCCCACCAAAATAAAAGCCTTGTCCACACGATCAGATTTAAATAAATATATACTGTATATACCTGGAATGCCGTTCAGGATATAATCATATTTATAATATAAAGTTTGAGTGAATGACACGAAACTCTGAATATATGGAATCAAACCCACCCAGCAAAACTCGTCGAAAAGACGACAAACGTTAAAATTTGGTTGAAAAGTGAAAGGAGAAAAGATGTCCATCTTAATTCAAAATTTTTAAGACTTGAATTTAACCTAATTTGAAGAGTAAATTAATTATTAGTCTATGTAAAATGTTCCTTATACGCCTATTATTAGCCAATTAATAATTACTCTCAAAATAGGGCAACTGACAAAAAAGTAACGACAAAACACAAACATGCATCTGTTCAGTTTGTTACTCAGAAGTATTAATTAGAGAGTTGCACACAGGTAGTTGGATATAGCCTATAGCCTGTGTTTCAGTCCAATCACAATAAAAGCTGTTTTGATACTTCGTATGTTGTTATTTTAAGAAACATGTCTTTCAAATGTATTCAAACAATAAATGCAGTTTTGACTGCATATGATAAGCACGTGTGTATACGCACACATGTACATTCTGTAGTTGTTTTTAGGCATACTTTTATTAAGTTGTGGATTCGGATAGACACTCGCACATTTTTGTCAAGGTTTAGATTTTATTATTATATATATATATATATATAGTGATGTAAAATGTCCGTTTATTTTTCTACAGTCAAACCTTAACACAAAGATATTTTGTTACAAAAAATGTTTAAAAAAATTAACCCATCTTAATTGATTTGGGTCTGATTAAATTACATAGATTACATACATATAATACATAAATACATACAATACATTAGATTACAATTCCGATGATCTTTATGACTAAAAGGAGTAGTTGCTTCCACTGTGAAAAAATCAAAAAATCAGGTGATTGCGCCGGCGCCGCAAGCGCGCACACAGTTAAGCTTAGCCTGTTCATTATCATAATAAAATACAATTCAAACAATAAATGCAGTTTTGACTGCATATGATAAGCACGTGTGTATACGCACACATGTACATTCTGTAGTTGTTTTTAGGCATACTTTTATTAAGTTGTGGATTTGGATAGACACATTTTTGTCAAGGTTTAGATTGTATTATTATTATTTTATATATATATATATATTGTGATGTAAAATGTCAGTTTATTTTTCAACAGTCAAACCTTAACACAAAGATATTTTGTTACAAAAAATGTTTAAAAAAATTAACCCATCTTAATTGATTTGGGTCTGATTAAATTACATAGATTACATACATATAATACATAAATACATACAATACATTAGATTACAATTCCGATGATCTTTATGACTAAAAGGAGTAGTTGCTTCCACTGTTAGAAGGGGAAAAAATCAGGTGATTGCGCCGGCGCCGCAAGCGCGCACACAGTTAAGCTTAGCCTGTTCATTATCATAATAAAATACAGTCAGTCAAACATATGAAAAAAAACACTGCTCAGTTTAAATGTAGTCAAATCTGTGCCGTTAAGCCTTACCACCTTACCTTCGTGATGTAAAACATTTGTTTTACGTGGATATTGGAGCGCGAGTGAAGTACATAATAAATACTATTTTGGCATTCAAATACATCGCGAATACGGAAACATTTGATTTTGTGTCGAACGAGAGACCCAACGTCGGTTTCAGTTTCGTTTTAGCCTAAATGATCATTCGTTTTGGCTTGTGCATTTATATTGCTATAGCTTCTTATATTTTTAATTAGAGTTCTTTTCTAAATACTGTTAAATTGAAAACACGCAACACACTGTAGACGTAGATGTGTTCTGCTGCTGTGTGAACGTGGCCTTCGTTTCCATTGTCATCTCCTAATTGTCTATTCTGAATGGTTTGTGCATCACTGTGAATTCCATAAAACACACTCAAAGTAATACCAGAATATACTGTACCTATCACAGTGGTGAAGAGTGCTGTTGACTGAAATGCTTTTTTTGAGCCGTGGCCCTTCATGTTGAGCTGTGACATTAGATTGTTGGTCATCAGTCTGGAAGAGAGAGAGAGGGGAAGATGTGTCAAGGCAACAGGAATTTCTTTTATTATCAGAAATCAAAGCTTTTATGAGTGTACTTTTGATTTTCAGCAAGGCATACCTCTCCATAATCTTTGTTGAGCAGTCGCTGATATGTTTGCCTCCTACTTTACTCAACTGGGTAATCTAAGTAGAAAAAAAGGAAATATCACTATATATTGGTAACAAATATCTTTAGTCTTTGCATGTTAGTTTATCATAGTAAACAAACCTAATCCGTCGAACTTACTTTTATTGGGCAGAGAAACGTCCAAATGTGTGTTAACAGTACTAAAGTAAACAGTTCTGTATTTTCAGCAAAGCAGAATTATGAGTATTTCTATACTATTGTCATCATTGCCTTGTGCATGAGGGACCAGGAACACAATTTCAATATTATTATATTTACATATAACTGTACTGTCCCTAACAATAATTACATGCATCATGATTATTGGTGGGTTTTCACCGTAAAACAACAATGCTGCTAATTGTGGCAAAATTTCTGAGAAATCCTGCAGCAAAATCAGTCATTTTAGGCCACAATAATAATAATAATAATAAACTTTCCAGGACTGATTAAACAAATTCCATGCAGTACCTAATTGTTTAGTGTTCCTTATGCTAAGCTAATTTTTAAAGAAAAGAATAAGCAAACTGGTAAATAATGATATTTTTACCAGAACATGTCTCTCTTCATTATTTTGCAGCTTCTCCTCCAAGGCATTCAGCTCCTCTATCGTCTCCATTCTTCTAATGTGGTATGTTGAATTACTAGGTTCTGCACTTCCAATTCTCTTGACCTCCTGCATGATCTCCACCAGCTTTTTAAGGACACATTTCTGAAATTCTAAAATGTAAAAAAAAACAAAAACATTTGACAAGTAAACTAATTACAAACAGATCAATTTTCACTAGATGATTAATCTTGATATCAGTAGTGAAATTTGACTTGGAAAAATTTTAATTCCTGGTATCAAACTAATATCAACAATTGAATTTCAAACTGTAAAACTACTTATTGATATGTTTAATAATGTATTTAATGTTTATCAGTGTAATATATTTATTTGCAATAATTTTCAGCTTCTTCACAGTCGGTTATTGGTACCTTCCTCTGAATATTCAAAAGCACTTTTTATTATGCATATCCAAAAAAAATCAACATTTGACAAGGCATCAACATTTTATTACAGATATAAAAAATGAATGACTACTTCCTTAATAGTAAGAATATAATTTTTATATCAATAAATATATTACTAAAACTGTGCATTCCTGGTATCTAAAACCAATATCCACGAAATGAAAAGTTAATTCTTGATATCTATAAATCAAATACATTTAATCTGGTATTTCTGGAAGTAGATTTCAGATATTTCAAAATAGAATCAAGAATTTGATTTCTGCAGGTGATGTCACTGTTCATATCAAGAATTCACATTTTTTACTAGTAGAAATTCCATTCCCTTATATAAAGAATTGTCATTTTAACTAGAAACACGGAATTATCAAAAATTAATATCCTGAGAATGATTAAAAGTCAAAATGGCTTGCCATCTGTGCACCGATTTTATTGGATATTTGGGTTGTACAGTAGGCAAATTATCTGTAGAAAGGTCAATTAGTGAGACATCTAAAACATTCTGGTAGGTAGTCCCCAAGACCAGAACTGAAAAACACTGCCTTTGTGAGGAGAAGCTGTGTGGATTCTGATTTGTACTTGCACCTTTATTCAGCTGTCTCAACATATGCTGATAAAAGTTTGTATTATGCCTATCTACAAATATACAAGACAAAGTAAATACTTACTGGACATAGGCATTGGAAATACATCCATGCTGTCGCCAGTTGGAGCCCTTGATGTTTCTGAAATAAACATTTAAAACTCAGTTCATACCAAGAGAGACAGGAAAAATAGCTTCATATTGTATTTTCAAGACAGGAACTAAAAACTATCCAGATGCACTTCTTTTGATTGTATTTAAATTTTATACTGGGCTATATTCTACTTGAAATTATCCACCCCCAAAAATCAGTTACACATCTCACCTCTAGAACAATAATTTCCAGTAGATGAACCCAAGGGTGATTTAAAATGTGAAGTGAAGTGCCTTCTGTCTCTTTATACCGTATGCATAAAATCCATATTTAAAATACACAATAACTCAGTTTTTTCTTTTCTTTTTTTAATTTGGGATGTCCCTCTGTTGCCTAGGCTTGATTGTGTTTATGGGGTGCAGTATAACATGCGTTTAAAAAAAAACCCTGCCAGCTCTATTTTTTCACATAATTTACCTTTATTCCACACCACTCTGTCCATTCTCTGAGAAACGGGCTGATCTTTTCCTGGTTTTTTAAGCCCCGCCCTCAGAAATAGGTGATGGGCTCTGATTGGTTAGCTAGCCCAGTGTGTTGTGATTAGCTAAACCGCCTCTAGTGCGCGTCTAATCGTCCCGCCCCTCAGCTCAGCGGCATGTGCTCCGGTTGTATCGAATGAATGAATGATGCATTTATATAGTGCTTTAATGTGTATTGTTGTACACCCAAAGCGCTTTTTACAATCATGTGGGGGGGTCTCTCCTCAACCACCACCAGTGTGCAGCATCCACTTGGATGATGCGACGGCAGTCACAGGACAGCGGCGCCAGTGCGCTCACCACACACCAGCTACAGGGGGAGAGGAGAGAGAGTCATAGAGCAAATCAAGTAGTTAGGGATTATTAGGAGGCCATGATAGACAAGGGCCAGGGGGGCAATTTGGCCAGGACACCGGGGTTACACCCCTATTCTTTACGAGAAGTGCCACAGAGAGTCAGGACCTCGGTTTAATGTCTCATCCGAAAGACGGTGCTTTTTGACCGTATAGTGTCCCCATCACTATACTGGGGTGTTAGGACCCACGCAGACCACAGGGTGAGCACCCCCTGCTGGCCTCACTAACACCTCTTCCAGCAGCAACCTAGTTTTCCCAGGAGGTCTCCCATCCAGGTACTGACCAGGCTCAACCCTGCTTAGCTTCAGTGGGCGACCAGTCTTGGGCTGCAGGGTGATATGGCTGTGGCAATATTGTAAACAACAGCGTCGTTAATATCGCTTATCAGTTTTGAGCCGGATTGAGAAGCAGAGGATATTAGTGAAGAGGATCATGCAGAACCTGTGCAAGCACGGCTTTTAATGGTTTTTTTTGTTTGTTGTTGTCTCATACTTTTAGATATGCTGTTATTTGTAAATGCTACTGCTTATGTTAGCTTTTAATATA